CATATATATATATATATATTACATATATATATATATATATATATATATATATATATATATATATATATATATATATATATATATATATATATATATATATATATATATATATATATATATATATATATATATATATATATATATATATAGACGTTGCAATTTTAAGCTTTTGGTTTACGAAAAAAAGCGCTCAATACCATATAGATAGAGCGTAATATAGTTTTTCGTTATATCTCAAAAAAACAACAACAGTGTGTGTGTGTGTGTTTATAATAACGATTGTCCTGAAATTAACATATAGTAGCAGGAGTTCACGTTCGTTATACTTGCGAATACATTTTAGCTAACTGATCGGTTTATTTCCATATAGCATTCCTTCTTAACCATAGAAGTAAAAGAGCTACAACAAGACACAGTAATACACAGCCACCAGCCACTAACCAAACTCCTTTCTCTTTGAAAAAACTTTTTTCGTCTTTTTGTCTTTGATCAACAACCGACGGTTGACCTATACGCATAAAATAAAATAATATTGAGAATAATACGTCTGGGAAAATCTTCATTTGTTTGCGATGCACTCAATGCTAGAGAGCTTTCTAACGAAAGAGGGAATTTCATATTTTCAGCACTATTGTACATCTACGAGCATAACATTCTCATACCCATGTGAGAATAATTCATACATCGTTAGGTCCTATTCATCTGGTATTTTTTTACGCATTAAAAATTGTTACATGTGTCAATAGGCTGAGAGTGGCTGGGATACTTTTGAAAAATATATATTTGGTGCGGTCAACCCAAGCGGTAAATAACATTTTCATTTTTTGTTTGATGCTTAATTAATGAAATTCTCATAAAATGCCATTATTGGGAAGTAGAGCATCGCTGACAAACTGCTATATAAAACGACGCGAAATAAAGACCTTAGTTTGCAATTTATGGCCATTATGAGCACAAAATTATACTTCGGTCACTATTTCAAAAAACAATTTGACTGACAACTATTCAAGAATCAACTTATTGTTATTTGGTCGCATATATAGCAGTAGTTTTATGGCTAACCCTGTTTTTGACGTCAATCACCGTCATGATCGAAACCTAGCTAATCAAAGAAGGCAGACAACCGAGTCAAAATGTTTCCTGCACCAAACAAGATGCATGTGGAAAAAGAGTAAAGGAGGATTGCGTATAATTCTAAAAGGCCTATCAATTCAGACAAACGTTAATAGAAGACTTTCGAAACACGCATCCGCTTCCAACTATCACTGTATGCTTAAGTTAAGTCAAATGTAAGTTAAGCCATTAATTTCCTATCTCCTTCTTTTGTTTTTGTTGGGAAATTGATGCCGATTATTCCGCTCAGCCTCAGGCAGTTATATGGTTTATATTTCCCAACAATTACTTCTCATTGGCGAATAATTATTTATCCTTAATTAGTTATACAACTATACGGATTGTTAAGAGTGTCAACTACGGATTGTTAAGAGTGTTAAGAGTGTCTTATTTCAGAAATAAATATTAATCGCTAACCTTTATACTTTACATGAATCTCCTTACCTTCTTCAAGAAGAACGAATGTCGCCGATGGTGAACCTTGGATGTCATCAGTTGTACATGTAATATTCTCACTCCTTGAAAAGTTGGAAATAGTTATTGTGTGTTGGAGTGAAACTTCGTTATTCTTTTGTGAACGCATTCGAGTTATTTTGTAATAACTACCCAAACTTGATATGAGATCGTGGTTTCCATTTCGGCATATGACTGCGCTGAAAATTATGTCTCCAGCACAAATAAAATTCCATTCAAGAACCTGACGGCTTCCTTTTTTTACCTTAATGACATTCGTATCAGGGATCTTTACCACAGCCAATTTCCCAGCACAACGCCAACGCCCTATAGAAATTAACGCGAATTGAAGATTGTTATAGTTCACGACAATATGCTTTATGGTCAGTCATGATTTCGTTCTGTATTAAGATAAACAAAAGCAAAACCGCGTAGAATGAGATAGATGGTTCAACGGTTTCGTATACTTTCCCAGTTTTAACGAAGTAAATTAATTTGTTTGAAATAGGAATGTCCAGAATTTTGACTAGGCCCTATATAGTATATATACGATTATTTTAGGCGTGAAAAATTCGAGATATATCAATATCATGGAAACCGTTAATACTGATCAGTTTAAAAAAGAAAATGAAATTAGCACTGAAACACCATTGAACTGTACCGAAATATCTTTGAACTATCACAGAGATGAATATATTTTATTACATATGTGACTGCATGTGTTGGATAAATTTAATCTATATACGAATATATTATCACTCAATCCACTAATAAAATATTCACCGTTTTGTTTTATACCGTACTAATTAAGACAAGCAGTAACACGTATACGTATACACCAAATATTTATTCATTATTTGTTCATCTTATCTTATCTTATATATAAAATGTTATGATGTACAATGAATACATATCAAACTTACTAGTGATAACTTGGACATTTCTGATAGTGTGGCTTTTGACTTCCCCATAAGGCGTGGTCGCAGTACACGTGTAATTTCCTCCAGCATCTAATTTGGCAAAAACTCTGAGTGTCAGTCCCTGTCTTATTTTGCGTATTGTAAGGTGATCATCTTTAATCTCCACGCCGTCTTTATACCAGGTAATTGTTGGACAGTATGGGTGGGAGTAAAAACAACAGTGAAGTTCGAAAATTTCATCGCCATCAAATTGGGAATCCGACTCCGTCGCATCGATGATCTCCAAAGCCCCTTCATCTATATGGACAGTAATAGTATTTAAAATAGTGCCGCCACTATAATTATTATGTGAGCTACACAAAAGTGCCAGAACCTTTCGCATGAGTAAACAGGAAACGATTCAGCCTTCACATTAATGTTAATAGGAATAAAAGCCCAAGGACGAAACTCCAAGCATAAATAATGTCTAGGTTTTTGTCTTGGTTTATGCAAAACATGGACGGGAAATCGTATCACGTCCGCATTGTTTCTTTTTCGGCATGTCAGCCTGCAATTGCAAGGTCGGTTTTCAATTACTGAAGTGATCATTAGCCATTGGGTGAAAGCATATTACTATCAGCCGTGCACGTGACGATGAACCGACCAGTTTTACATAAATAAAGACAAAAACATAAATAATCAGTTATAGAAGTGTGTCCTAACTTCATCCATTTTAAATATGGTCCAAGCAATTACTTACAGATTAGCAAATAGATGTAGATGGGCACCACGCTACTAATATGCATTTCAAATCATGCATGTCTTGCTTGTTTCAAGTACAAATGCCTCTAAATGCCATATAATAAACTTTTTATTAACCTCACTTGCTCGGTATGTATACAGAGAAATATCGGACCGAACTGGTGATTTACTAATTAATCTGGTTCATTTATTCAATGGTGTTTTAGAGTTGGTGAAATTTAGTCGAAAGGAATTATTTGGGATTATCTTTTGGCGATTTGTATGATATTGCTGTGATGCTCACACTACAACCCGATATTCTGGTTCATATATTCAATATCTTTGTCATCGTTTGTTCTTATCACCTGTAACTTTCTAAGTGAACTATAAATTGTGTTCCTGTTCTCGTATGTAATTTTTGTGTTATTTGGATGTACTGTTCGTGATTCATCGTACTTTTATTATTTTGACCGTATAAACTTTTGTATTTAAATTTTGTCTGGCGTCGCGTTGGTTTTCCGTTTATCTCATGAATAGCACAATTTTCATTCATTTTGCGGTTTTTGAGTGCAATATTTGATGACTAATTTTTGTATTCTTGTTGGACGTGGTCGCTGCGAATATTATCACACAGATCAACATATCGGATTAACGCAAGTGTCGTCGCTTTTCTTTCGACTCACATATCGTTTGGAATATTAATGACAAAACCCCAGGTTTTAGGTTTGAAAAAGCCCCGGGTTTTAGGTTTAAAATTGAATTATTCATCAGCCATTAATACTATTTACGTTTTGTCGGCCATCTTGTTGTCATGCGTGTTGTCCCGCGTGGTGTACGCGAATAATGTTCCACCCCATGTTCCCCAGGGAACATGGGGTGGAACATTGTCAAAAGGAACGCAGGCTCGCTAATTGATGACGTAAGGCGTGATATCGCGATTAATTTCATGCTCACGTGGCACAAACTAAGCTTCCTGATTGGACAATTTGAATTTGAGGTATACTATATATATATATATATATATATATATATATATATATATATATATATATATATCTGGTAGACTAAGCCACATCTGGTATCAACACGTGATCTAAATATAAGGAAATGTTCATTATCCTGTAATTATCGCTATGGCTTGCTGTTTCAAATCAAGATTAATAACTTGCACGTTCTGTTATGTATCTTATTGTCAGGAGACGTTACTATTAACCCTGGTCCCTGTAATGCCCATGTAAATACATCAGTAAAATGCTTAGCCATGAATGCCCGTAGTTTGATGAGCACTCATAAACTAAAAGAATCTGAAACTGTTTGTAAGCTAAACTGCTTTCAAGACTTAGTTTATTCTGAACAAATTGATATTGTTTGTGTCAATGAAACTTGGCTCAATGGAAACATTGATAATTCAGAAATCCTTAACTCCGATTACACTATACTTCGAAAGATCGCGAAACTATTACTTGCAATTAAGTCGGTGCGAGAAGTTCATCGAAATCAATATCTAGGAATTATCTCTGCTGAAATAACTACATCCTCAAATAGTCGACTCTTGATTTGCTCTTGCTACCGTCCACCTAACGCTGATCAAAATTGGCTCAACAATTTTAACCACTATCTAAATGATGTTTGCAGCTGCTATGAGAATGTCATCCTTGTTGGAGACATCCTTGTTGGAATTCTCCAGAAAATAC